AAATCCAAAGATATTTAGTTTACTCAGACTGCAATCTCACCCTACAAAAATATAAGCTTTTTCTGTTTTGAGGGGTTTTTTTACGTTTAGTTTGTTATCATCATGTACGGCCCAAAAAAACTTAAAATCCTCCCATTTAAGAAGCTGCAACCAGCAAATGTTTGCTGGCAATGCATTTTTGAATAACATATGGCTAAATCAATGAACTCAATAATAATAATAATAAAATAAATTGCTGCACCTCTGCTTTGTTATGATACAAGTAAAATGACTTGAGTGGAGTGAAATGAACAGTGTTTCTACCAGCAAGGCCAACACACCCAACAACTATACAGCATACTAATCCCCAGCATACTATCTCACATTATCATAATTAATGCCAGTAAACATAATTCATTTTAATAATTTGATATTGTTATATTTTACTAGTAATGCCAGAATTCAGGCACATCAATCAACCACAAGTTAACAAGTTTCCCAAGCGATGCACATTTGCAATTAAATATAGAATCACAGCATGCATGGGGAAGTTGTGTAACCTGGAAAAAACGCACATTTCTGCAAAATTACAGTAAAAATATGCTATAAAAGGAGGAACGTGGTGTAAAATAACAATAACTGGGGGAAAGGGTGTGGCATTATAGTTCTGCTGCCTGAAACCTGCTATTAGCACCAAGATCCTTATCAACCTGCTACCTCGCTGTGTCCACCAAAAGCACCCAGATTTGGTATAAAACTGGATTTTTTTCCTTTGCTGTTGCAGTGCATTGCAGAGACTAAAGACACTCGTTGCTTCTCTGTTGTGACTCATGTAGCATTTAGAGGAAGTTATCAGCTCTTGTACGTCATCATTCTGTTCTCTGCATCTGAGCAATAATGAGGAACAAGAGTGTCTGGCTTAATAGACTTGGTCTTACTGAAAGTGGGTCTTTATAAACTTCTCGTTTGTTTGCTGCTTCTCCTTTTTGCACAGCTGTACAGTGTTGGGTGCAGAAAAGGTATTGCTTAGATGGTTTTATCAGCCAATATCGGTTTATCAAATATGCAGTATACCAGTGTCTTTGGGTATTTTAGTTCACATGCAAAAAGAACATAAATGTCCTATAAGCTGTAAATGTACCTTTTATATATTTTTTTCTACTTTTTAGTTTGATGTTTTATAATAATTACATGTAGTATAATAAATAAAAGAATGTTGCATCTACTTGTAGTCTTGACAACAGAAAACTATTCTTGCATGGTCGAGTTCAGTTACTGTACGCAAGTCACAGGCAATAAGTCAAGGCTTTAATGGGTTTTTTATTCTAAGAATTATTTTTGGACACACTTTTGGTAGGGAGAGAGAGCGGTATGGCATGCAACAAAGCTCCCCAGCTGGGATCAAACAGGGACTTTGACGTTATAATGGCATTCATCTTCACCACACCAGAAGAGATCAGCTTTTTTTTGCTGAGGATGGGGAGAAACCTTGCTTTCTTCACTAGAGCTGGTGGGGCATTTTATTTTAGCTGAAAACAAGATTAAAAAACTGAGAAATGACAGCCAGGTAGTCTCTGCAGGGAACCGGCAACCAAATCGCTGACGGTAGCAGAGCATAGTGGTTACACACATGCACACACACTAGTTGGAAAGTGTAACATTGGGATACAACTTTTTTAGACAGCAACACAATCCAGCTACAGTAGCTCAGCAAATAAAAGTAGCTTAACCTCTAATACTATCTCTCTCTCTATCCTCCACAGCCATACTTCTCGGGTACCCGCAGCCTCTCCCCCATGTCCAGTCTGTTTGGATCCATCTGGACGCCACAGAGCCACTTCCAACCTGAGCGATCAGCCCCAATGTCCCCCGTGTCCCCCATCACCCCGCCTCATTCTCCCTTCACCCGGGAGCCAGAGGTGAGGTGCGCGCCCATCCAGTACTCCAGCTTCAACCCCTTCGGCCCGCACATGAACCTGGACATATGGAACTCTTCCTCCAACCGCAGCTCCAACTCACAACTGTCCAACGACTCCGGCTACTGTGGAGATGTTTAAAAATAAGATTTAAAAAAAAAAAAACAGAACGGCAGACCTTAATAATTGCAAACATATAAAACATTGATATGTAAAAGAAAGGAAATAAAAATGAATGTTCTTTTATCAGTAATGGGGAAAATGTGAATATTCCTTTTCTTTTATGTTCCCATTTTCAAATGTTAAATGTTGTGAAAGGTTAAGCATTTGTTGTATATTTTTCTAGATGTTTTGCAGTTTTGATCATAGAAAATAAAAAAAGGTTTTGTACTTGAACAACATATGACTCTTTATTTAATTACACAATGTAGAATTTAACTTGTGTCTGTCTTTATCTATTTTAGGAAGATACTGATTTGTCGTCCAAACGGCGGCACATTTGCCCTGTTGACTGACATTGGTCTATTGGAATTGGTTTATCTGTTGTGTCGCATCAATTTTGTGCTGGCAAAATGTTGTTGGTTATTTCCAACTCTGATATTGGAGAAATAATCACCTCCTGTTTTCCAGCACGGGCACAAACTGCATGCAAATTCCGATGTGCTCTATGCAGCAGCAGCAACAGTGAGCGGCTGTTCAGCTCTGCACCTCACATATCGGATGAGAGGAAAAATAGACTGAGCTGCAACTAGGCAGAGATGCTTATCTTTCTTTCCCCGTCACAAGTAGGTGAATAAATAACAGCAACCTCAGCAAAATTGTTATTTTAAACATTGTATTGGCCCTGAATTTCACAATCGGTGCATCTATTTATAGGAAGTAGAAGAAACTTGTATGTCTACACATATGAGCCCGAAATATAACAGTGCACACACAGAGCAACTCACCAGTTCCCAAGCCAAGTCCCTACAGACTGAGCCACTGACGCCCCAAAGAAAGAAGACTGCTCCAAATCTGGTGCTGAGAGATTCTGATGTATACTTCTATGTTGGATCAAGCTCTTAAAAACTCTGGCTCGAAAATATTCACAAAACATAGTGTAGCTCAAAAATGTCCAGAGAGGGTTTGGGTTTAAACATCCACAAGAATTTAATAAGAGATTAGGGTTGGACATTTGTATTGATCCCAGGATTTATCTTCAGGGGAATATCAATAGACAATTTCTGAGTATTTGTTCTCCAGATGCCTTTTCATAAGTACTTGTGAAAATACTATCTCTTTTTTCTGAGCAGACTGACAGGTCGGTTGTTGGGGAAAAACCAAAGAAAGTAGTGCTTTCCCCAATCAGATAAAACTTCTTACAGCTTTAGTATTTCAATAATATTATAGTAAAAACTTTATTTATGTATTACCTTTCAAAATGAAGTTACAGGGTGCTTTACAATAAATAAAAGGATATAAAATCCAAAATATAAAACAGGATAAAATTATTTAAATAATTACAACAAACCACCATCCATCAGTTGTCTATACCCACTTTCCCTGTGCAGGGTTAAGGAGGGCTGCAGCTTCTTCCAGCTCTGATTGGACAAGAGGTACTCTGGACAGGTCACAGGTCGTTCTCAGAGCTAAAACCTGCAGACGAATTCACACCTACAGGCAGTTCAGAGTCTCAGTGATGCATGCAGGTTGATAAGTGAGCCTGGTTGTGTCTCAGGAACACTCACATTAATGTTTTTATTTTCGTCATGTAGCAACCTGACAGTAAAAATGCATTGCTACTGAAGTGTGAAACCAAACAAACCAACAACCGAGATAATCCCCAAGTTCTGCCAGGAAACAGTCATTTAGTGTGACACAGGAGGAAATAATTTACAAACTAGAGAAGTGATGTGTAAGATGAATGAATCATCGTCATTCCGTAACTGTGCCGAAGAAGGACAAGACTTCAGCTGAAGGATACAGAGACTCATCAAGGTATTTAAATGTATTCATTACTTTAATTTCACTCTCCTGTCATGCTTCATGGAGTGTGGAGTGTACTGCTGGAGTAATCACAGATCTTTTTATGTGTTTAATTAGGTAATTAACTGTCTTTACAAATCTATTATAAATCAATTCATTTCATTTGTTTAAATTATGCATTTAAACACATTTGTGAAAAGCCCTTTTAACATAATTTTGCAATCCCATTTTAAACATTAATTAATCGTTTACATACAGAGGGATTAAGTAAAAATTAAATAGCATTAAGTGTTAACATGCAAATTTAAATAATGCATAATTGCTTTTTAAAATGTATTAATTGATTTTATACCATGGCTACAGAGAATACCCAATTCTGATTGGCTGGCAGGTGTGAATTATTTTCTTGTAATTTAACAGCAAACTGGACACCTGTGGTGCAGGTGTTTGCCATTTTAATGTTGCCATTAATGCGGCAGTATTAAACTAACTTTATTCAATTTAACTTTAAACTTAACTTAATTCAATTTCTGCATGAGTCTGGCTATACAGAACAAGTGGACCACATAACATGCCCGGTATTATCCCTTAAACACAGAAAAAGAACAGAAACTGAATGATGAGCCTTTCAGTGCAAAACTGACTTGTCTTGATGTTTGGAAGACGTGCAATAATGCAAAAAAATTTAACAATAATCAACAACAACATGATTTGAAAATGAAAAGAGTAGAAAGTACAGATATTTATGTACAAATGTAGGCTAAAAGTAAAAGTTTGTCAGAAAAATATACTCTTAAAGTACAGATACTTAACTTAAGTACAGAAACAAAGTATTTGTACTTACGTTACTTTTCTTTTCTGCTTCTGACAATTCTGCTGATGATGAATTGAGCTGTATTTCCCAAAATGACAAAATCTCTGGTAAAATTACCTGAAATACTTTTGGGAAGGAAGTCATATTTATTAAATATTTAATTTTATCTCAGTTGACGTAGGGGTAGTTTTATAAATTGAATCATGTGTATTTCAACTTATTAGCCAACAACCAACAACTGTATTTTTTATTTTTAGATTGCTTTGCAGTTTGCAACAAAAAGCCTGATCATTGGGGTTTTCTTTTGTGTTTTATAGGGGCTCAAGATGACGATCCTGGCATTTCTCACGTTTGTCCTTCTGCTAATGCAGCACAGCGTCTCACTCACCAGACCACAGTGTCACGGCTGTGAACAAACATCCTGTAACTGCTCGAGACAAAACCTGAGGAAAGTCCCAGCAGCCCCTTCAGAGCTCATCACTGACCTCGATCTCTCATTCAACAGACTGAAGACAGTAATGAAAAATGATTTTGTTTCATATGCTAGTTTACAGTCTTTGATCATGAACAACAACAAAATCAAAACAATCCAAGAGCAAGCATTTGACCCGCTGACTAATTTGGTGAAATTGGACTTGTCCTTTAACAGTCTGGATATGTTGTCTCCTGAATGGTTTCAGAGCCTTTTGTCTCTTCAGCACTTGAATCTTTTGGGGAACAAATATAACATGTTGGGTCAAGGAAATCTCTTCCATCCACTGAAGAGATTAAAGACCCTCTATTTTGGAGGAGATAACCTTCAGTATATCAGAAAGAGTGACTTCTCTGGCCTCGGTGGTCTTGAAGAGGTTATTTTTGATGGACAGAAACTGCAGGCCTATGCAAAAGGCAGTTTGAGACAGATTGGGCCGATTAAATATGTAACACTTGGTCTGAAAGATCCGTTTCAGAGAAATGAAGCGCTCGTGGAAGCTATACTGTCAGATGTTGTTCAGCCGAATACAACCCTGACATTCATTGACACATCTTTCATCACACAGACTCAAATGTCCCCATTTAGATTGGTCAATGGTGGAGGAACAGCAAATGTTATTTTTAAAAATGTTATCATTTCAGTTGAAGCTGGTCTGGCACTTTTGAATATGCTGTCAGGCTCGAATGTAACTATGTTGAGGCTTGAAAATACCAAAGTCTTGATTAATTTACCTTACAGGCCAAATTTCCCGACCATGGAGCATTTGGAGGAGCTTTTCATCAAAAATGCCGATATCCCTCGGTTCTATAGTTTTCCAGCCTTCTTTTTCCTCGAACCTATGCTGAAGGTGGTACGGAGGGTGTCTATGCTAAACAGCACGTTGTTCGCCATTCCGTGTCAGTTCGCTGTCAAGTTCTCAAACCTGGAGTACATGGACATCAGTGACAACCTTTTTAGTGATCTAGCCCTCAGCGAAATGATGTGCGATGGCAAAGGTGGTCTTTGGAACCTGCAAACGCTCAACGTCAGCAGGAATCACCTGCAGTCGATCAACAGCCAGCTCTTCACCAAACTAGATAAGCTCGAAAACATTGACATGAGTGGAAATGCATTCCATAGTATGCATGAGACGTGTTACTGGCCTCCGAGTCTCCGATTTCTAAACCTTTCATCAACACATTTAGGGAAAGTGACCACTTGTTTGCCAGTGAGTTTACACATCCTCGATGTATCAGACAATGCATTGACCGAGTTCAACATCGACCTGCCTTTTCTCACAGAGTTATACATCTCTGGCAACAGGCTCAGCGTTCTACCAGATGGCCGTTTATACCGTCGTCTCACGTTTCTCTTCATTCAAAACAACAACTTACAGACGTTCAGCAGGAATAGTCTAAATGATTACTATCATCTGCAGAGTCTAGAGGCTGGTACTAACACCTATGTCTGTTCATGTGACTTCATAGCGTTCATGACAAGTGACCTGAAGCATCATCAAGTCACAATTGGAGATGAGTTGAAGTCGTACATCTGTGACTCCCCTGACGCCATGAGAGGAAAGAGAGTGGCAGAGGCGAGGTTGTCGGTGTTTGAGTGCCACACAGCTTTAGCCTTTAGTTTACTCTTATTAGGCATCCTGGCAGTTTTTCTGCTCGTTGCAGGTTTGTGTCACAAATTCAGTGTTCTGTGGTATATGAAGATGACATGGGCCTGGCTGAGAGCTAAGAGGAAGCCAAAGTTAAAAATGGGAGAGCTCGAGTATGACGCCTTTGTGTCCTTCAGTGAAATGGACTCTGCTTGGGTGGAAATGCATCTGATCCCGGAGCTCGAGCAGGCCGAGCCTCCTCTCCGGCTCTGCATCCACAAGAGAGACTTTATTCCTGGAGGCTGGATCTTGGACAACATCATGGACGCCATAGAGAAGAGTCACAGAACTCTGTTTGTGCTCTCTCAGCATTTTGTCAGCAGCGAATGGTGCAAGTACGAGCTGGATTACACCCATTTTAGACTATTTGATCATAATGATGACACAGTCGTGTTGATTCTGTTGGAGCCCATTGACAAAGACACCATCCCCAAAAAGTTCTGTAAGCTGCGGAGAGTCATGAACTCCAGGACGTACCTGGAGTGGCCTGATGATGACGAGCAGATCCCTAGGTTCTGGCAGAGCTTGAGAGCAGCTATTAAAACACCTGCAACTGATGATGGACACTTTGAAATGGACACTGTTGATTTATAATTACTATAATTACCGGACCAACCTTGTCACCTAAAAAATTACATTTCTTTACCAAACACTTTTTGTGCCAGTTATGGTTTGTGAGTAAATATAAATGCCCATTGGATTATGTTCAATGGCAAGGATGAACAAAGAAGGGGAGAACAGACAAGTTATAACTAAAAATACATTTATTTAACAAAACTAAAAAAGAAAAGTAGCTAAAGACAAACTAAATTCAACCAAACCAAACAGGGTGGAAGCCATGGAAAGAGTCTTGCCACCAGACCAGGTGAACTGAATCTTGCTGATAACCCGACTCCACCCACCAGGCTGTTGGAGGGTCGTCACAGTATGAAACATCACATTTATTATTTTATTTGTGTGGTGGGTTTACAAAGGTAATGTCCTTAGTCCATCTTTCTGTTTCACTGGGAGGCTTTACAGCTGCACAAGCCCTTACACACTGTGACTGTGAGGCCAGTTTATGTGTCAAAATTACTCAGTAAAAACATATTTTTAAAAAGTGAATTAATGTCAGTGTAAGTACATGTAGTGTGAAAGTATTTACTGTAACACAGGGTAGGTAAAGAGAGTTTCACATTCTTCTGTAAACTAGATTTATTCTATAAGTATGAGTTAACCATCATGTCAGAGGAACTGATAATCAATAATCCCATATGAAACAATATTTGTATAAAATACTAAATTTAGTACAAACTGCTGAATTACTGCTCTAGAACAGCCTCCTAATCTGCAACCTCTAAAAAAGGGTCGCCCAAAACTTTTTCCATTTTAGGGCCAAAACTGAAAGTTGCCCAAAAGCAAACACCTATTGTGCTATATTGTTAAGTGTACTAAATTCCCTTAATTGACAGACTTCCTGTACAAAGTTTTACATTTATTTTGTCATTTTTTTTGCCATAAACATCTAGCCGGTCTAATCAAACCTTTAACCTGCAGGCCCCACTTTGGGTAGCCCTGCTCTAAATAAACTAACATTATTAATAATTTCAAGAAGCTGGTTTCTGAAACATCAATTTAACCACCGTAGCTGGAATAATTTTGTGTATATAAATTATTATGATGAATTTCACATATAAGACAACTCCGTGTGTGTGTGTGTGTGTGTCCATGTGCTTGTGTGCCTAAAAGCGTGTGTAATTCATTGTCAGGCTCTTGAGAGCTGACATATTGTCGCTATTGATCTTTAGTCCTAAAATCAACACAGAAGCCTGGATACTGATGACAGGCAGGCCAGGGGAGTCAGGGTGTCCTGATAACACACACACACTAACACACAAACACATTAATGCTCAACATGCACATATAAACAGAAGCACATGCACATATTTACAGAGTTGCAGATGTCTGTAAAGGTCAGTAAAATCTGGTGAAGTGCAGGATTTAATCAGCGAGACTCAAATCATTGCTTTCATGATTGACACACGTTAAATACACACAAAGGCACCGATGCCTGATGTTGTATAGTAACACACTATGAGCTGGCATTAGTTTATTCTGTGTTATCTAAAGTAACATCACACTTCATTTTAATTGTAATAAACATTTTTAAATATTCTCATTTGATGAAATGATGTCGCTGTACATAATGTTAACATGGTGTTTTATTTTTAAATAATTCAGAATAATAATTCTAATTAACCGTTCATGCTTTCTCAAGCTTTAGAGAAGAACTTGGAGATACAAAATATAGTAAAACCTATTTTACAAATTACATTTTTTTATTAATGTCTTGGGAAGTTTATTTTGTAAGAAGTTTGATAATCATTTAAGAAAAAAATGCTTATTTTGAGACAGTACATTTTGGTAAGGAATAATAAATGATATAGTAGTTTTAGAAAACAGAAGAGCAACAACAAACTGACAGAAATTGGAATTTTACATTTGCTTGTAATTTACACTCAGATAATTTTACATGTTCAGCTAACCTGCTGTATAAATAAAAAAACTTGTTGTCAAAAATGTCAATAAATTGAAAATGTTAATTGTCTCCACTAGTTAGTCCTTTGACTTTGAAAAGCACCTAACAAATTACAGTTATATACATACATTTCTTTTTTTAGGGAAGCATTACAAAGCTGTCCTACATTGTCAACAAAAGGTTGTTTTTTGTTTTGTTTTGTTTCAGGGCAAAAGGGAAAATGACGGGATGGATTATGCAGGAATATTCATTAGGACAAATATTGTCTGTGTTGCTACAACCTGATAAATCTTATTCCTCTGTGTCACAGAGTTTCATTATTGGCCAAAAATATAAAAAAGTGGTGTTTTCAGTTATGTGGAAGTGAGGGTCACTAATACATAACCAACACCCATTATTTTAATCATAAATAAGGCATTTTCAATATAATTAGTATTATTTCTCTCTGTATTGACAGCTTGCTTTCTATTTGATTTACACTCACAAAAACCGACGCATCCTCCCACTAGTGGAGTGTTACATATAATTGGATGCTATGCAATCTACGTCAGACAATTTTTGCAAATGAGCCGCTGTGTGTGTGAAAGTGTTGGACCACTGAATAAACCATGCAGTCACCCGTTATAACCCGCTATTATTTATTTTTGTTATTTTAGAGAACCCTGCAAACTTTCAAACCCTGATTAAAAATGATTAAATGAGCCACACACTGGCACTGACTGACATGTTCCTTCATTACAAGGAACATGGGCCCTGTAATTTATTCTGAGGTAATCCCACATTCAGCAGCGAATGTGTATTCATCAACAGCTAAAAGTAGTCCTCAACAAATGCACTGTGCAGCCCTGTTTGAGTAACATTTGCTAAAAACTACAGTGCCCAGCTGTTTTAGGACATGACTGAGCATTTTTTTAATGAAATAATATATTTGTGACCTGTTTTTAAGATTTTTCAGTCAGATGTAATTGGCTTGGGGCTGAGGAGTACAGATAGGATGGGTGGGGTAGTTGAAAATATCAAGAGATGGATTAACACATTTTTTGTCTTTTTATGAGATTCATCAATAATAAGAAAAATAGAAAATAATACAAGCCTTATCCTATTACCTGAGCTTTTCTAGGCTAAATGGGAATCAAAGATACAAGTTGTAGTTGCTTGAGGACTCTTTGGTTACGTTCACCCTGCAAGTTTTAGCACTCAGTTCTGATTTATTGCACTGATCTGATTTTTTTGTTTGTTTGGCTGTTCACATTATTTTTATATATTAGATTCAGGTGTGATTCAAATTCAGGTGTGACCCACATGATAAACGTAGATGTAGAGTAACATAAAAGTCATATGAATTATGATATGAAGGTTCACACTGAGGTCACATTGGAAAGAAATCAGACAGTATCTGATTTGGACTCAAAACAGAAATGAAATGATCAGATTTAATGAGATTTGTCATGAAACAAACAGATCTGAGACACATACGAACAAAACAAAATCAGATTTGGGCCACTTGTGCCTGCAGTGTAAACGCAGCCTTTGTTCTGATCTCTTGTCATCTCTGCATCTTTCTACCAACAACCTTCAAAGAGTTTGTTTCTTTTGTTCTGCAAGTCTGTCCACAGCCACAGCTGAAATTGATGATGTGTCTAAGCATACGATCATCTCCTTTAAGACCAGGATTGGTAGTTTAGGAGATTGATGTGATTGAACTCTTGTCAGTCTGATGTTGTGTTCCTATTAAAAAAACATTATAGTGCGTCATGTTGTGAGGTGAGCCGTGTCTGATGAGATTTGTACTGTATCTCAGTCTGCTGAAGTCGGTTCAGAGTGTTCCCCTTTAGAAGTCAAAACAGCATATGATTTGATTTCATGCTCTTTTATCCTTTAACTAGCCTGATAACAGGGGATGGAAAAAAAAAAGCAATGATGTGTGTGTGCGGGTGTGTGTATAACAACTCTCCATCATCCCCTAGCAGAGCATCCATTAGCCTTGGACCCCCTCCCCGGTTGCCCAGTGATAAAGTAAACAAAGTGTGTTTGGCCAATCCGGCACGCAAATATTTGTTCTGGAAGCTGCCTCATCCGCCGGGTGACACACACGTCTGTAGCCGCGTGCTGAGGTATATATACAGTGACAATCCTGACGGTCCAGTATTACATATGCACACACACATACAGAAAAGTGGCTCCATCAATGACCCAGGCCAGACCTTTCCTGGGACTTCAACACAGATTTACCTGAACCTGGCAGCTTTTTAGCACTTCACTTGGTAATAAAACTTTCACCTTTTCAACCAATTTCGAATTTTTCATCCTGTCAACAACCTGCTTTTCCTAATCCACTCTTACTTTGTGTCACTGTCTCTCCAGCGTTAATGAGCCAACATGGCAGCAGGGATCATCAGAAACTTCCTCGTCCAGGCCCCGACTCCGGCCTACTTCCCCCTCATTTTCCAGCACTCTCCCTGCAAGGAAGACGAAGAGGAGATGCTGGAGGAAAAACCAGAGGTGAGGGAAGATGAAGAGGAAAGAGAAGTAGAGGAGGAGGAGGAGGATGACGATGAAGAATCTGAAGCTCAGGAGGAAGAGGAGGAATGTTTAGAGGAGGTTTTCTTAAACCCCTCCCACTACGCTTTGGATGTGACCAAGCAGCTGCTGAGGTTTGCAGATGTCATCAGCCGTGACGTCCAGCGGTATTTTGGTCGCTGCTCTGGTGATCAAGAAGCTTGTGACATCTACAGCGACTCGGTCTCTGTGACAACTAGCGGGCGACTGCGTTACTATGACGACCTGCTAAAACTCGCAAGAGCAGGAAGCCCAGAGGAGCAAGAAAACAGCTTTGTGACTTGTGCTGATGATCAAGGAGTCAGGGTTGCTAAGGGCAACATCGGTTTGGGGCCCCTGGCTGAACTGTTTGACCACAAGGGCCAGAGTCAGGGCCGCAGCCGGCCGATGATCAAGCGGCATCTCCCGCTCAGTTTCTGGACTGAGCCGATCCCCTGCTGCTCTCTGGTCAGTTTCATTAACACACCTGACGTCACACACACAAACAGTGACACACCTTCACAGGGCGGCACACACACGGACGCTAACGCACACATGCACTACAACCCACTCCCACATCACAACACACACACCCTTGACAGCACTCAGCCCGACTTCAGTGACTTGCTGGCAAACTGGGATCCAAACCCGGAGCTCACACACACACTGACAGAGAACACACACATGCAGCATTAAACACAACAGCCTGACTGACGGCTGAAAAAATACTTTATTCATGTTTGTTTCAATTTTGATAGGTGCTTTAAAGTTTAATAAAAAGAAAAATGACACACAGCCTATCATTATATGATGTTTGTTTTAAAGGGTCAGTTCTCTGTCTTACTTCTCATGGTACCTAGTCATGCAAACAGCAGCGTTTTTGTATGTCCTGGTTTTGATATATTTGCCTTAGACTGGGATTTAGCTTGTGGTGCTCATAGAATCAAAATTTAATTAACTTGAAAACAAAACAGTCAGGTGCTGGTAGGTTGCAGGACCATGTAGTAAAACATCCAAATTAACCAGCGCACACTGGAATGACTTCACTGTGGTTTATTTGAGAGCAAACAACGCGTTTCGCCTGCAGCTTCCTCAGGTTGGCTCAGCAAATACATTTAATTAATATATTAGCAACTTGCCTTTCCAGAGGCAGTTTCCCAGTTACTCTAAATGATCCTCAGAGCTCACAGTGAACTTTTTCACTACTGTTAAGTGTTATTTTAGTTAAGGTTTTTTTATATATATATAAAAGTGAACTTATCATTGCAATAAGAATATTTCAGCCTGTTCTTTCTAGTTTTCAAGTTTATAGCAATCCTCAAAACCCCTGTAGTTGCCGGTGGTAACAAGAAATGTAGTTTAATGCTACAGAATTCTGGAGGCAGTAAAAACAAACTATTGTTGTTTTACTAAAGAAGTCAGGAAATGATTGGCCTTTTCCATCATTCTATCATCCTTGTTTTGTAGACACATTTTTGATTAAGGACAGCAGTCAGTGACAAACAAGCCACAGCAGTAGGAAATGTTGGGTTTGCATTAACTTATTAATACAGTACTACATTTTTTCTGGGAATGTCACAACATTAAATAAATATATATATATATATATATATATATAAAAGATTAAAATCTTCGATATTATTACTTTTACTCAGCGTAACATCCCCTAAAAATGTTGTTTTCGCTGACCTCTGTGGTTGCTGTGGTTAAACTTCTCACCTTACTGCAGTGACCGGTGTACTCCAGGACACCATGATGTCACTGTTGGGTGGGGTTACAGGTACAACAAAGAACATGTCTTACTGCACCCATCAGTGAAGCTGGGTGTCTTTTCAAGTGTGTCTTATGTTCTAGGTTACATTTTGCTTGATTATATTGAAGCAATGTTCCTCATTCATGTTTCATTACTATTTCTAAACAAATGTTAGATAAGTTGATTTGTTTTTGTTTTTGTTTTTGTTCCTGAGGAATGAATGACACACAGAAATGCAACGCATTTTTTCACATTCTTTAGGAAGATCTAGAGGCAGAAAGTGAATATAATATGCATAAATATGTTTTCATTACAAATAGCACACTGTTATTTTATAACTTGAAAATAAGAAGCGTTGTGTTTTTGTGACTTTAGAATGATCCTTTTATATCTACAGACGTTGGCTTCTATGGAACTGCTATGTTTCTACAGTAGCCCAGAACGGACAAACTAAACACTGGCTCTAGATTGCCGGGCGTTTGCATTTATCGCATGTTTCACAGTTACTGTAGTTTCTCCTTTGTGCTTGGAAGGGAGGGACTACTCTGCTAGATGCCACTAAATCCTTACACACGGGACCTTTGAAAAGGCTCAGATACTAAAAGGAACTTGTGGTGGCCAAGAATTGACTTTCAATCTCAACTTCTAAGTCAACATGGAAAAGAAGTCCTTAAAATACTTTAAATTATTATTTGTTTTAATAATGAGGAAGATCATGTGATGCAAATGAAAGCAGCTACTAACTGAACCTGTGTGATGAGATTATTCACTTTTAACTCTTTTGTTTTGGGTAGTTGAGGCAGACATCAGTACAAACGATCAGCATGACCAGACGCCACTAATATTGGTTATTGACCCTTTAAAGTCGATTAAAATATATAACCGTCCCTGCACCAACATGTACCATGCACTGATGTGTGGATAAGATGTTTAAAGGAGAAAGAAGGGAGAGTGTTTGCTGTAGTTTAAGTAAACAGTAATAACAAGATAAAAAAAAGAAGAGTGAGGAAGAGAGAGAGAGCTAGAAATCCACATAATTACTGTGCTATCAGTGTTTTTAGGTAAATGAGGGTCTGATAAGAGAGTGGGGGGAGGTGAAAATGAAAGCACCAGCTACCATCTGGTAGGTGACGGAGTCTGGAAGCTAAAGACAATGACGACAATAATAATAATATAAAGAAATAACAAAAAGATGAATAAGGGAAGTAAGAAAGATAAAGAGGAGAATCCGTGATGAGGTCTTAACAGTGCTGTTTTTTCCCAATTCTGAATCTACAGGGCAGCATTTGATTGGTTTAGACTGGAAAGAGTCCTCCGCAGGCACACCGTCTGATTGGATGAGCGGGAAGGCCAGTTAAATTTCGACACACACTCTCCATCTTGCACACATAAAAGGTAAAAACTTTCAGTGACGCATGTATTGTGGGTGCCCATACCTGAGCAGAGGTACCAGAGCAGCTCAGACACAAAACGCCAACATGAGGACACGCACGCTTTTGTCCATAACTCTGCTGGGCCTGCTGCTGTGGGCCTCCTGCATCCAGGCCAATGACACAGACGCCGACACTGACAAACAGGAAGAAACACAAGAAGAGACATCAGCAGAAGAGACTCCAGGAGACACAGAAGAGGAGGAGGAAACCAAAGAGGCACCAAAGAAAGAGAAAACAACAGAGATAGAGGAGGAGCAAGATGTGATGGTTCTCCACATCAACAACTTTGCCAGAGCTCTCAGCGAGAATCAGTATTTACTGGTTGAATTCTGTAAGTAGACATAAATTAAATCTGATGTAGAAACAGGGACGTGATCACTGCTAATGATGAATTAACACTTTGTGCCTGAGAGGTGACTCAAAACTCTTACTGATAACTATTAGACAATAGACAATATATATGAAGTTTGTGTTGCCCTTTAGTGCAAATAACATCAGTGACAACATATGTTGGGCTGAAATGGATTGTGATTGACCAGTTTGTGTTATAAGGTGACACAGACGTGTACTTTCCTAAATAAGACCATGGTGTATTACCGAAACTTCAGGAATAACTCACTAAGTAAAAGTAAAATTGCTTTCCTCCACTGCTGTCCGTTGAAGCCCTCATGAGCACGGAGACGTTATCTTACAAACTTGCATACACGTGGCCTCTCCTTGTCCAGATGTTCTCTTGGTTCAACTCTCCCACAGATGAGCTCAGCACTGCGAGTGGAGAGGTCACAACAAGGAAACGAGCAAAGGGGATAAAAGCTGGGCCCAACTGCCACTGCTGCTATCAGCGGCTTATTTCCATGTGTATCTCTGCATGTGCTGCTGATAGGAGCAACCCAAAGAACTGGACAGAACAGAGGCCTGTGGAGGAGAGCATGTCTGCTGCTTTGGTTGATTTCCAGTGTTTCTAAAAAAGAGATTAACTATCTATGCGTGTGTTTGTGTGTAGATGCTCCCTGGTGTGGCCACTGCAAGCAGCTGGAGCCAGTGTATGCAGAGGCTGCAGGGAAACTGAAGACGGAGGAACCACTGATGCGGTTGGCCAAAGTGGATGCCATAGACGACAGGGAGCTGGCTGACGAGTTTGACATCGGAAGCTTTCCCACTCTGAAGCTGTTCATCGCTGGAGACCGCAAGCAGCCCGTCGACTTCACTGGTAAACACATGGGACCCCTACAAGAAGTTACCAAAGCTTTATGGAGGGTCACAAGGCCTTCTTGATTTTAACACATGCTAGGAAACTTTAATAATATATACACAGTAGGCCTATATCTGTGAAAAAAGTTAAGTCAGTTGTTAATAGAATAATGGCCAAGCGTCAGGGACAAGAAATCACTGAATCTGTTAGAAAAAGAAGCTTATTAAGTATTTATGATTGTTAAACAAGTTTTTAAAATACATAATGCAGAGAGAATTGTATAAAAAGTTCCCTGAAAAGGAAATAACCTGCTCAGAATTGATTTAAATCACTCTTCTTGCAGTTACTGTTCACTATTTTGGTTCATTGTACAGTTTTTAATATAATATCAGTTATCCATAAAATATGTCTCTTAATTGAGGGTCGTCAGTTTACTAAATGATAGAAAAGGGTCCCTTATGGAAAATGTTCGACTGTGCAAATCAACTGTATTTTATTTTATCATTTATTTTAACATATGGTTAAAGAAATAGTTCAACTTTTTGGGAAACCCGCTTATTTATTCACTTCTTGTGGATTAGATGAGATGATTAATACCACTATCAGACATGAGAGTGGTATCAATCCTCTATATATAATATATATATAATAATACCTGTAAGTGATTAAGAGAAGTCAAATTCCTCTTGCTAGTAAAATGAAGCGTTGGAAGGTATGTTTTTAAACACTGAAGAGATGCACTTGATTTCCAGTCTTTATGCTATAATAAGCTAACTGGCTGTTGGCATGTAGCTTCATATTTAGCATTTAAACTTTAAAGTGGTATAACTCTGGGCAATACATAAGAGTATTTCCTAAAACGGAAAACTATTATTTTAGTTAGTATAATGTTGCGCTGGTAGTTTTTTAGCTATGTTTGCTAGCAGTTTCTCTCTGGTTCCAGATTTATATCAAATTTCTCATCTAAATCTAAGAAAGAAAAATAATTCGCTTATTTCACAAATTGTCGTAGGAAAAAGTAGGAAAATGTAGTGCTGGTAGTTTTTGAACTTTGTAGAGAGCTAGGCTACATGTTTCCAATCTTAACTTAACTAAACTAAGCTCACCATCTCCTAGCTCTATGTACCCTACATGTTCACAGTTTGATGTGTTAAATGCTCCTTCACTCACACACCTCTGAGTCAAGTCTGAATCAACATATGTGTGCATGTTTTTATTACTTTTGTTTGTATTATTTTACATCTTGTTGTGTTAAAGCACCTGAAATGACTCTGACATGGCTTTACGTCACACATGTTTGTATGTTTTCCAGGTAAGAGGTCAGTGGAGGGAATAATCCAGTGGATGAAGCGTCGTGCAGGCCCTGGTGCTCCAGTGCTCGACTCTGCAGACTCTGCAGCTCAGTTCATTGATTCCCATAAGATCGCTGTTGTCGGATTCTTTGATGTACGTTTACCTACTTTATCTCTCCTTACTAATAAATAATAAAATCACACATTTATATTCATATTTATATGTTGATTCATACCCATATTAGAGTCTGGAAGGTGAGTCGGCCAAGGTGTTCAAGGAGGTTGCTTTGGATGTGGTGGACACAGAGTTTGCTGTGTCAGCAAGTCCTGAGGTTTTCCAGAAGTATGAAGTAAAAGCCAACTCAGTGGTGCTCTTCAAAAAGGTACGGACATGTTATAATACCAACTGAGAGTTTTATAGAGAGGAACTAACAAGAGCAAAGAAGCTGTAATGATGTTAGCTTTACTGCCATCTAGTGTCTAAAGATAATGTATACAGTGTGTTCCTTTGTCATGTCCTCATAATGATAGAAAGGTGAGTTTATTTAGCTGATTCTGACTTCTATAAACAGATTATCTTACTTTATTATTGATAAACATGTACGGTTATTATTTCAATTAATTGATTAATAGTTTATTCAATAAAATATCAAAAATAGGAAGAAAGCTTATCATAATTGCCAAGACCATAATATAATTAAGTTATATTAAACAACCACAAAGAGACAAAAACTGACTACAAAGAGAGACAAAAACAGTTGTGTCTGT